TATAGGAGGCTACTGGTGGATGACGGCGTGCAAAGGTGGGCAGTCAGGAAGGAGGAGGGCGGTGGCATAAAGGCGAGTGGCGAGCAGCAGATAATGGATGGGGCAACAGGCCATAAAAGGCGACTAGTGGGCGGCCAAGCAGGGGCGGCACTTACTAGCTGCCAGTAGTAGGCTATGGGTGGCGATGGAAAGCAACATTTTACACAAAATGTCTATTTGGAATTCGCCCAACTATTTGGAATTCGCACAAATCCAGTGAATTCCAAATACAATAAAAATTAACTTAAAAATGAATTCCAAATACATGATAAATTTACACTGCATTTGGAATTCATTTAACCAAACACCTGGATTTTTGAAACTCGTATAAAAAGAATGTAATGCACTCCTTTTACAGTAAACTAAACAATCCTGTAATTGTGATATAATTAAAGCAATCAAATGTTAAAGAATGATTTATTATCAAAAGAATTAACATAAAGGAAGTGCTTTCAAAGTTTAGCCAAATTTATCAAAGGGGAATTCGCATAAATGCCACCCAATCCTTATGTAGTTATATATCAAAAATCTAGATTTTTACATTTGTACTACCCAAATCATTCATATCACATAAGAAATACCACTATTTTAACTTTAAAAGAAAAGTTAAACCACATTTATGTAAAAATTGATGTTTAGGTGTTAGATATATAAATAGATGAAAATTAAGTGGTATGCATGTAAATCTTCCTTTACAAAATGTTACTCAAAAACTACACATCCTTATCATATGGGGAGGAAAGGAGTGAGCATCCAAATCTAAAATTTTCATCCAATTTAAATAATACTCGGCAAAACTAGCGCTGCAACTACCGCATTTTCTACTACAGTGGCCCGATTCGAGGTACAGTACCGCAGGGAGCGTCCAGCATGGAGCAGTCTGCAGTCCCTACTACTATACCGCAAAAGATTGCGGCTTGGACTGGTCAAGGAGAGTCGGTCAACAATTCCGTTATGTGGATTTCCATCCTATTTGGAGGGGAGTCTACTCATATTAACCATAAGTTTATAAACATGTTATTTTTGTTATTTATGTGAGTTTTTCTTTGTGTTTTCTGTCAGGACAGTTGTTGGCGTTCAAGTTTTCCCTTCTAGGGATGTATTTGAGGGCGAGTGGTACTCCAGCTATATCTCGTTTTGAAGAGGTGACCTCCTTCAAGGGTTGAGTGATGCTCCAGTTATTTCTCGCTTCCGACGTGGTGTTAGTCTTTTCTAACTCCTTCGCAACCCTCTCGCTTCTCCACCACATCTTCCTCCTCATTGCAGCCGCCCTGACAACCACCTCCCAACTGTCTACATGCAGTTCTTGCTCCCCCAACTGCTGCCTGCTCACTGTCTGCCAAAACTATTCCTCTGACACCCTTGTTGTTGTCCCAACTCCCCGCAACCTTTACTCTACCTTCCCCCCCCCCCCCCCCC